CAAAAATATTCTGAATTATTCATTATTCCGCAATTTTTTGTCTGATCTCGAAACAGATCTCTAAAGACTATATTTCTCATCAATATTGAAATACGTTTTTAACGTATACTTGAATGGTAATTCTTTATATTTGAAAACTTACATTTTAAAAATGATAGTCGTCTTGACAACAACAAACCATGTCGAAATTACTATGCAAGTTATCTCCCGAATATGTATACGTGAAAGAATGTGCCCATTAAAAATCAAGTTCTTTTTGGATGTAATTCATCGCTGAAAAGATTGGCCAAACATTTTTTAACAATGCCGCACCCATGTAAAATGAGAGGCAACAAACATTAACTACAATCCAAAATAAAACCAGTAAGAAAAGTAGTACAGTCGGACGGGACTGACTATATGATACCCTTCACCACTTTGGATATATTCAACAGATGCATTCTAACAGACGTCGAATTTTCGAAAGACCACTGACATGAAATTGGATGAACTAAAATATGTGATATATATATCTAAATGTGAACCGACTTAGATCAATCCATAAACATGTCATTTGTAACCTATACTAAACTCCTAATTTGGATAGATAAAGAATAAGACAAAATTATCTAAATCGGACACTCATTGATTATTTGAAACCAAATAAACACGAAGTCGGTCGAATATATGAACTATGTCTGAATTTCTATAAAAAGCAATTACGTCATTCTATACTCAAATTTTTGTGTGCAAATCTGACAAAATGAGGAGTCTGGGCCCATTTCTTTAAAATCGGAGGAAAAAATTAATGTATGCTATATCTAAACAGATTTCAACGAAATTTGTCACAGGTTAGTTTATACTAATTTCAGCACGTTTGGTACATACCGGCCATATTTTGGGTCCTTGGTGCATCATATACTTAAAATCGGAGGAAAATACATATAGCAGCTATAACTAAATCTGAACAGATTTTCACAAAAACTAAAACACATCATTCTAGACTTAATTTAGTACGCTATGTAAAATTTCGTTCAAATCGAAAGATATTTGGGACTTTGGTATACCATTTACATTAAATCGGACGAAAATATATATGGGAGCTATATCTACATCTGAACCGATTTTCACGAAACTTAACACACATCATTCTAGACCCAATTCAGGACACTATGCCAAATTTCGTGCAAATCGAAAGAAATGTAGGGGCTTTCGTACACTATTTACATAAAATCGGACGAAAATATATATGGGAGCTATATCTAAATCTAAACGATTTTCACGAAACTTAAGGCATATCATGCTAGACGTAATTCAGTACGCCATGCCAAATTTGGTCCAAATCATTTACCATTTACATTAAATCGGACGAAAATATATATGGGAGTTATATCTAAATCTGAACGGATTTTCACAAAACTGAACACACATTATTCTGGACTTAGTTCAGTACGCTGTGTCAAATTTCGTCCAAATCGGAAGATATATAGGGGCATTAAATAGGACTAAAATATATATGGGAGCTATATTTAATATGAACCGATTTTTCCCATCTTCAATAGGGTTCGTCCTTGGGCCAAATAAATGACATGGACAGACAGACGGACGTCGGACATGCATAAATCGAGTCAGAAAGTTATTCTATGCTTATTCTCAAAAGGAATCATGTGTCTACCTCGTTTCCTTTTGCCTGTTACAAAAATATGCACAATGACATAATACCCTGTAGCACAGTGTGGTGAAGGGTATAAAGAGACAAGTTTTTTGTTAGGTTTGGTGTGTGGTTAGGCACAGAAATTCTTACCCAACGAAAATCCGATATTAAAGGGGTATATATACATATTTAACAATTGCTTTGGTGGGATTCCTTAAAGGAGTCTTAAAAACATCTGGGGGCAAATTGTGGCATTCGATATTGAGTTGTTGCGATCGATGTCTTTTAATTTAGTATGACCACATTCGATATCGACTACATTTCGGGCAATAAAATAAAAAAAATCATATAACAAGTACAAGTTTTCATAATTTTGCCCGTCTTGGGTGAGGTACTAGAAGGAGTTGGCCTAAAAGTCCCATATTTCAACGTTATACAGTCATGGTTATAATATAAGTTTGTGCAAAGTTTAGTTCAAACCGTTTAAGTGATATTATTAAACCGTTTGGTGGGTGAGGTACCAGAAGGTGTGAAACGATATGCTCAATCTTCGAACTTTATCTAAGTTTGGAATAAGTATTAATTTTGAATGAAATCGATTACACCCTTCGAGAGTTAGCCACACAGACGACATTTGTAAATCGACTCCAAATTGTCGTAAACGGATTTTGGTCCAAAGAAACATGGAAACATAAGGCTGAGGGTATAAAAATTAAAAACTGTCCATGCATTCTGACATACATATAGATAAATAATAAATTGGCTCTATAACCTAATTCGAGGCGGCCACAAAACCGTTTTATTAATGTATATTTATTTATTGATATTTTAGGTGTTATATAACAAATTTCAAAATCTTCAAATTAAATAAAAACCTAAGTTTTACACTCCCTCATATTATTCGCCTTATATAAAAATTTGATTATTATTCTTAGGGTTAGGGTATTGAAATGTGTATTTGATTTCAAACAAATGATAACTCGAATACTGCGTGCAACAATTTCAGATTTGAGAACGAAGTCAAACAACTATAAAAAGCAAGAAACATGCAACCATAAAAAGGCGACAAAAGAAGATAAAACAGACAGACAGCAAGCAACAACAAACAAACAAACATGATGAAAGTGTGGCAAACATAAAAATATGAAGTTTGTGTCTTAAGTCTTTCGTTGTGGGCACACACACCTTAAATAGGCTTGTTCGTTCTTTCGTTCACTTTTGTTGTCCGTTGCAGCAAGCATTCAATGAGTGACAAAAGCTAGTTTCTTTGGAAAAAAGAAAGAATTATTATTTATTTTCTTTACGAGTTATAGAAACTTTGGTTTGAAGTAGGTGGGGTACTGCTTACATCGTGTGCGGTTCTACTTTATATGCCACCCATAATTCGAAGCTGTAACCACACAGTGAAACTAAGTTCATCCACAATTTCTTTTTGTTGTAATTTTTTGTATAGCTGTAATGTTGGGTGTGTTTGCTGGGGGTTTCAATGTAATAACAATTCTTTGAATTTACATATATTGTTTGATTTTGTTGACTTCTTTTACATTTTAATGTGCTTTACATGGCTGTTAGGGACAGTTGGTAAAATCGCTGTAAGGGACAGTTGGTAAAATTATAATAAATTAAGATATATGTTTGTTAAATAGAAGCCATTTGTGATATTTTAATTTTAATTGCGATTTGTAATTGTGTGAGGGTTAATTGTTTTTCATTGTGCTTTAAACATAACTGGTTTCAGTTGTTTTTTTAAGTATTTCCAGCTGATGCATTTTTAAATACTTAATAAAATAATAGATTTCTTAACGCATGTCGTATATTGTTTGTTTTCATTTGCATTTCGAAAAAAAGGAAACAAACTGTCTACTGAATAATTATTAAATTAACACATTAGGACGACAGTAGAGATTAGCATGAAATTTGAAAAATATTGAATTGAATGAAGAAACAAATAGTAAATTCTGAATGAAACCGATTGCAATTGGAAATGAGTAGAAATTTATTATTATCAATTTTATTGCATTGTAACCACAAACTTGGTATGAATATACAAGTTTGGGTCAATCTTTAGAACGAGTGGAACGAGTGAAGCCCTATCTTACAACATTATTCCAGGATGGTTAAACTACGAAGTTGTGAAAATTTTGGTTTAAATCGGATAGTCCATTCGCACGATATTATAAAGCATTTTGACCATTTTGTGTGGGATGGAACAGAAGGAGTGAACGGATGGCTCCCATCTTCGAACTCAAAATAAATATTACGATATGCATGTTTGGCATCAAATTGGACATTCGACGCCATTGTTATTGAATTAACAAATTTTCAATGCTTGACCTATTGTAGGGGAGGTATCCGAAGGTGTGGACCGATTGGTCCGGCCCCATCATTGTATTCGATATAGGCTATGTAAAAATATTACGATGAGCAAAGTTTGGATGAAATTTAGATTTGGATTTCATATATGGTGTACAAACGTTTGGAAGCGAGGTAGCAGAAGAAGTTTGAAAGAAATATTGGCAAAGTTTGGATCCAATCGGACATATCATTCGCCCAATATTGGATTTATAAATATTGAAAATTTTGACCCTTTGTGGGGGAGGTACAGAAGAAGTGAACCATATTCTGACATGATGTATACTTAGTAATTTTAAGACTACGCGGTTCATTCCGTTGTTTAAGCATTACTATTTAAATGTTGACGTTACAAGTGTGGCGGACTGCAACTTCACATCATTTATCTGACATGAGGCAACCGTAGAAATCTTTGTTGGATCTTTCTAATTCACATTGAACAACGTAAAGCTATAAATGTCACCCTTGCAGAAGGATCACATAATATAATTAACAATATTGTCATTATATTATCCTCACAATATGAGATAAAAACATATATTACTAGTCTTATTACTTTTACACTAAAAATATATAACACAAACAATCAATCTCGTAACTTTGCGACAATACCATATAAATTTATAATTTCATATATGGCTATATAACTCCAATACAATATGCAATTGTCTGTACTTACCTTGAGTTTGAAAGTTGTAAAAATTGTTCTTTGTATTGAATTGAATTTTGAGTTGATTGATGACTTTAAATGGAAACTTGAAATTATGTGTTGTGAATTGTGGGAATTTTTCTTGATTTCTTGTTAAATGTTGATTGATGAATAATATTAAATGTATATGATTTAATGTTCTATAAAACAAAAGAACGACATAGACGATTTTAAATTAAATAGATGAAATATTTTATTTTTTAAAAAAATTACCTTAAAGTGGAGATTTTTGAAATTTCTTAAAATTAGAAAATTTGAAATACCAATGGAATTGTTTAGAAGTTCACTAATTTTTGTCAATTTTTTTGATTACATTCTAACTTGGAATTTGCCAGCCTTTGTAATATATTTAACACCTTTAAAAGGTTTATATTTTTCACCATACATATCTAAACGATTAACTTTAAGTCCGGATACAGCCATTTGTGAGATGGTAAATTGCACATTTATGGTAGGATTGGAACCTAAACTTGGGGTACCGGGAGGAATAGAGACCTAAAAAGAAAGAGAAAATTAAAAGTATTGTTTGGATTGTATGTACAAATAAATTGTTTAAAACAATAATAGATATCACAAACAAATATCGATAGAGCACTTGTTAGTAGGATTAAAGGTTTATTCATAAGGTTAACAGGCAAACGAATTCATGCCTCTTGCTGTCAGCATTTTAATCGCGAAATACAAACCAGAACAGGATAAAAATTCAAAACATCTTTCAGGAAAACGTAATGATAGTTCAAATTCATAAAACTTACCGTTCCTCTTATATTTGGCAAATTGGTAACATCTATACGGCCAACTTCCCATATCAACGTTTTGGTTACCGAATCAAATGTATATTTGCCCTGATTGGGTGTGAGTATGCAATTTAAAACACATTTGGGCATAGCAATTTCCAATTTCACTTTATCCACAGCACGACCCATAAGAGTACGGGTACCGACCGTTAAATCCAAACGACCTTGTTCACCAGTTTTTATTGAAAAATTATGACGTATATAGATGGGAATAGCTACCACCGATTGGGAACTAATGTGGTACGACATTAAACGGAAATTACCATCAGGTGGTATAAAACTCAATAGACGTTCCGCCTCCCAACGTTTAAAACGTACACATGGATGAAATGAGACATCATCAAATAAACGTGGATTCATAAAGGAAAGTGTTAAGTCCGGCATTCCCGATAATTTGATACAGCAATCAATCTAAAGATTGTAAAAAGAAATGAATTAGTAAATTATTGGACAAAAAATATGTTTTGTACTTACATATCCTTGAATTTCAGCAAAAACTGTTGATCCAGATTTATCAATAATGGCATCAACTTCTTCGATAACATCGAAATAGGCTTCATTGTTTGTGTAACGTACACCACTCCGTCTCCAAGGAATTGCAGACAGTTGTCCTTGAGGCAAAATTGTGCTGACACTAAAAGCAAATAATGCATAGAATCAGAAGAAACCCAAATAGTTATATTGGAAAATATTTCAATTCCCGTTTATATCCGTCCTTGACGACAATTCATATTAGCTAATGTTCCTGCCAACGATAGCTATGTTTTAGGGAAGAGTAATAATGTCTGCATATGTAGAAAACTATAAATTCTGCTTACTGATTTGTCAAAAATCAATGTTTTTAATGCTACCAAAATACCATATACCGATAACTTTTTATATAACAAAAATCTTGGGGGCGTGTATTTTTCGTGTAGATGTACATTTGAATAAAAAAAATACAGTAATATTTTCGCTAAATCTAAGTCGCTATAGATTTAGCAGAATATATTTTAATACGATTTTCATTAAGTTAGCAATTCAGGCTCATTAACATTTTATCAACAATTAGAAAATTTTGAAGGTTATAGGAATCGGTTACAATGTTGAACACGTTCAATATTCCAAAGCCAATTTTCTGTTGAGGTTATTCAGAGGATTACGTAACGGGATTCAAAAAACTCGAAGCCATTAATAAGAAAATCTGTTGTATCCTACTAAGTATTATTGTCGTTGAAAATGAAATGTGTTGTCAGGTTCGGGGTCTTTTCCCTCCGAATTCGGTAGGGTTTCAACATAGACAAGTTTCGGTCATAGAAATTTGATGTCAAGTAAGAAAGCATAGCTTGGCAGTTTAATATGTAGAAAGTGTGTTCGTATTCCATATTCTGGACATGTGCTAGGTATAGTGCCATCAATTCGTCCCCAATAAGAATTGAGGCGGTTGCAGCACATAGATCTTATCTGGGCAGCTGATTTTCCCCTTCTGCTAAGGATAGTGGATCGCAATGAATCCAATATAGACTGTCAGATAGGCCTGTTGATGGCACGATTGTACCATTGGACCACTTTCTGTAGATCATGATGGCTATTACTGAGGCGCCTGGTATGTGGAAAACTGCCCATTAGGTGATTACAAGGGCCTTCCCGATGATAACAACCAGGCAAGTATTGCACCGGAAACATTTGTTTATGTCGATGGACGATCTCCGTCTCATCAAAAACATGTCCAGTGTTGCCAATTTAGCACTTTTAGTGCTAGATTTAGCACTTTTTAAACTCGTTTAGCACGAAAAAAATTGATCTAGCATCTAGCACTTTTTTTAGCATTTTTAATTTGTTCCAAGATTTTTTCAATTTTTTTAGTATTACTCCAAAAAAATTGTATTTCCGATTTCACATCGACACATTGAAGTTTCCGTATGTTTCACATGGTGGATTTGATTTTCCAATGTTGTTTCTAGTGAGCGGAGCAGTATAGTCGCACGGGGCTATCCATATGATACATTACGTAACTACCACAAGACTTAAATTTTCTGCGAAACTAATTTCCGTGTCGGTGAAAAATTCTGCGAAATATCCACCTCCTGGGGTTGTTATAATACTACATTATCAGAATATAACAAGTAAAAAACTATGTGGAAAATGTGTCCAAAATCCCCAAAATACCGAATATTGGGGGGACCCAATACTTAGGCCAATATATGACATTTGCAATACCAAACATCCAAGAAGTACTAGTAATGTCTGACAGATCATTATCAAAGCAGCCATGTTTTTTCGTTGACTAGATTTCCCGTATTTATTGGTGTTCGGGTTATAAAACGCATTTAGAGAGGTGCATTTAGAAAAAAATATTTTTTGTATAATTTCATCCTCTAAATATCATCGTTTAAAACCGATAGATGTCGCACTTCAACAAAACCGGAACTTTATGAAAAATTATATACCTATAATCTAGTGCGGTAATGGTGATAAATACTATTAGAATATATACCCCTTTAAATATTTACGTACATCTCCCACACCCGGTCTGCAAATTTTTTCAAACAAAATCTGGGTCAATTTGACTTGCTCAGTATGCTTATTCATTAGCATTTTCCCCATGTACAATTTTGTGACCTCTAGAGAGATCAGAAACAAATATAAAATGCTTTGGTTGACTTCAACAGCCAAATATTGACCGTTTTTACCTAACTCAATAACTGTCTTCACTGGCCAGAACCGGATATACAGAATATCGTGACAATTGTTTCACAGCTATGACCGTTACTTTGTATACAAATGTTAATGGACATACGGATAGTCACATACATATATATACTCAGCAATTCGGGATATAAGGATTCGTAATGTAAGTCCAGGACCAATATTTCGTTACAAACAATTGAAACACTAACATTTGCAATACCCTTACAACATAGCTATTAATTTAATTTATAAGACATATAGATCTCATTATAGACTATAATCAAATTTTCTTAAGGGGACCCCCCCCATTCTCGGGGTCAAAATTTTCCTTGATATAATTCGAATCTACACTAATTAAAGAATGTCCCTACAAAATTTCAAGTGAAAATCTCAAGAACTTTTGAAGATACAGCCGATTTATTGTGTCAGCATCAAGTGACGGCTGAAGGGCTTCTCAAACTTTAAACGCGTTTTTCTCTAAACATTTTTTTGCGAATGGCGGGCACGATAACAAAAATAATAATCCAATCGGTTCCAAATTTTGACACGTTTCTCTGGGAGTGTGTAGCTCTCGTATGAACTAGGATAAAGCCAATCGGTGAAGATCTTCCTTATTTTTAAAAAAAAAAAATTTTCAAAGTTCCGCCATTTTGTTAATTGTTGTGCGAACTCAATAATCCTAGTTCATACGAGAGCCAGACATGTCCTCTTTCTAACACAGTTGGAAACATTCCGATGTTTGAAGTTACATGCCCGCCATTGAAAATAACATTTGAAAAAACAACAACAAAACAACAACAACAACTTTTGGTAAATTATTTTTCTTCTTCTTTAAATCTTCAAATATATATGTGCCAAGTTACAAACCTTAACAAGCATTGGTATTCATTTACCAGCCCATTTAAAATCTTAAAAATAAAAAATCAAATTTTCTTAAATTCATTTTTAGCACTTTTTTCTGGCACTTTACTAAAATTTTTAGCAGTTTTTAGCATCTTTTTCAACAAAATCTAGCATTTTTTTCTCAATCAAGTTTTGGCAACACTGAACATGTCCGTTGGTGAAATGAGGATACCATCTGTTGCAGTTCTCTAAGCAGCATTCTGGCTGGTCTCAATATTCTTTCCCTTTGTAAACCACGTTGGCGCCGGATAGTTTACCACTATTCTATTTCCTTATATCCCAAATAGCAGTGACTTGAACAGGCGTCTTTAAAATGCTGTCGAAAGTTTCATTAAATATCTTCCGTTATTTGGTGGTAAGAATCTATTCCATCCATTCAGCGGGACTTTCATTTCAGTCATTCAATCTGTGTCGCTCTTGTTTTGTGGCAGATATTTTCATATTCATCAGATGAAATAATTCCCAAGATCAGCTCTGCAGACGTTTATCCTCTCACATGTGGCATCAATAATGGAATCCATATCATCGACGACCTTTGTACATTTTACGACTTCCATGTTGATGTTGGGCTATGGAGAAACTGCTTCCCATCGATGGAAGGAATAGCGCCTCAAGTGCAATTGTTACTGGCGACAGAGGTGAAAATCGGCATGTACGACTTCGGGTTCATAGAGTTACTTACGGCTTTGGATGATGTTGCGTCTTTGATTAACAAATCACATGTTTTGCATATGGGCTTTTCAGAAAGTTACATTTTCTACACTCATCGACCACAAAATCTCGTCAAGATCAAGTTTGTCAATGATTCCTACTCTTTTGTTGTTCAGGACCAACTGTCGAGTACGCAACACGTAACGCCTTGGTTGGAATGAATCCGCTTCTATATACTTATTTATTTCCACGCTCCTACATTTGGTTACTGGTTTTTGAGGTCATGTAGTATTGTAGTCATCGTTGAGCTGCTGTTTGAAATTAGTTTCGAAGCTATCGTCTTGGTACGCTAGATAGTAATTCTTTCAATAACTAATAAGGATATTCGCGTTTAAATGTTTTCGCTACCTTCATGTTCTTCCTTATTGTCTTCCTATTTTTTTGCATAAAATCGTCTAATATGAAAAGTTCTGAAAAAATATGTTTTATAATCCATTTCCCTGGAAATATGAACTTACTCAATACTAATCTTAGACCTTTGGATTAATAAACGTTTAACGCATTTCAAAACGATCCGCGACGTATTCCAAGTCCTGTTCCTGAAAATAATTCTTAGCAGTTTTCTACATTAAACACTTGTATACAATAGCCGCCATTATTTTATTAAAAGCATTATCCTATGACTCAACTAAACACCAACTAATTCATCATCTTTTGGCCCGTAATTGTTCGAAGTTTGGTTCCTTAAATACTTATTAAATAGAACAACTTTGCCTACATACTTGTTAATATATTTTAAACATCAATCATACTTACTTGCTTTTACCGGTCACAGTATTGGCAATGGTTCTCAAAATATTTGGTGGTTTGATCAACTCTTTCAAAATATTACTTTCTGTAGCCAATGGAAAACCATTATCTAACATTTCATCCAACAGCTCATAGACCAAAACATAATTTTCCTTAATAATCGATTCGGAGCAATCACCAAAATAATCCTCGAATGTATCAATGACACGATGTAAAAATTCGATAACAAATAGGGGAGGCACTTCCTGCTTGCAAGCAGCCACCAATGAAATACCTTTACGTTGGACAGTAATTAAATAGTAATGAGGAGTGGGAATGACTGGAGGCACGTCCTGTAAGAGAAATTAAAGAAAATAATTATTTAATAGTGTTTATAACTAGATAATGAACAAATGCATATTACATACAATATTATTCACAATTTGTCATTACATGAAGGGAACGTGATGTGTGAAAGGAAAAATGGCAAAAAAGTTCGTACAAAACTGTAACAACGCAAGTATTCTTTTCCCAGCAATTTGCAATGGTTTCTTATATGCTATTTGTAATACGATTGTAAACTAAACTACTCTCTGAGCGTATTTGAGGCTCCTAATGTGTCTCTATAGATTCTGATGAACTATGACCGTCCAGCATATTATTTTGCACGCAATAGTTATTAAAGTCACTGTTTTCAGTGTTTTTATCTCATATTACAACTTACATTTTGTGAATTCCTTTGGGCATCCAAAAAGTAATCACATACGGAACGAGACACAACTGAACGCCAATGTTTTTCAAGAAAAACATCGCTGCGTAAAAAGAATTCAACATTAATAAATCTATTTTGACTTGTTTGTTCGCCAAAACTCACCCACTATTGTTTACAATAAACAAACTATGTATCATGATTCTCTATTTAAATATTTTTATCCAAATTTTCTAATTTTCAACTCCAAACAAAAAATTGCCAACAAATTCCAATAGGATATTTTTTTCTCATTAACAGCTGTTTATCTGTAGTGATTTTTTACGTATGTAGTTGTTGTTTACCTAATAGCAAGCAATAGCGTACGGCGTAGCATATTGCAGCAATACAATCATGGTACTATTATAAAAGGTAACAGCAAATCCCAGCTGATTTGATTCCAACGTAATACTAGTGTCAATATAAATTTTGACAAATTATGTTTTTAAAAATCACCCAACAGGAAAATTGGGAACGCATACAATTTGAAATTGTTCTTTATTAATGTGCTCCCGTATTCAATTTACTCAATCTGCCTGCTGGGAAAGTTTGAGGAAGCAAATCTTTCTTGAAGGAATTACTCGCTATTCCCAGCATTGTCATATGTGTTACACATATATATGGCAATGGCTCAATTAAAGGAAAGATGTGGAAGCGATAGAAATATAAATTTGATAGATTTTCATTCATGTTTTTCAATTTTTATTTTGAGGATTCGAAAATATTCCATTTTCAAAATAAAAATAATTTGATGATAATTTGTTTGTTTACATTTTTCTGTCAAATGAGTTGACACTAGTAGAACTTACAACAACAAATTTCCATGTGGTTGTTGTATCGTTTTTTGTACAACAACACTTGCTGTTACCTTTTATTATTATACCATGCAATACAATCAGTATTAGTCTTGATTTAGATTAGGCGAGTTTACTTGCGGCAAGTCTTTGTTTGTAGGAGAGAGGGGCAAGGGGAATAGAAATGAAAAAAAAATGATCGTACCGACAATTTTCTGGCAATTCGTTTTGTGTATTTCGTATTTGTTGACATTTTATATAGATTTAAATGTGAAAAAAAAAAACAAATAGAAAAATATTTTGGAAATCGAATTGCCTTGTATAAACGCATGAAGCAAGTTCAAAAGAGAACGACAAGAATTGCCGCAAGTAAACTCGTCTAATCTAAATCAAGACTTAGCATGTATGCATGTATTAGGTCTGTCTGTTTACTCGATATTTGGTAACAATTGTTACCAAATGTTACTAAATGTTGTGTGTTTACCACAATATCCAGTAAAAGAGAGTCAAGTGAGAGAGCAAGTTTGACAGTTGAACAACAAACTTACTGGAGTTTACTGAAAGAATTTTATCCAGTAAGATTTTGAAAACTCAGCATTTTTGGATCAGCTATTTTATAAGTCTGCTTTTCCACAGGCAGATTTTTATTTGGCAAATTTTTTGTTTTCTCCTTTGAAATTTTCGCTTGCTTTTCCATTAGCAAATTTTTCTTTGCCAAATTTGCGAATCAAAATACAAAAGAAAGAAAATAAAAGCAACAGGTTTGTAAACAAAAGCCGGCTGTGTGTCAGGAAAGCGAATAGGTTCAAAAGGAAATGTCAACAAAATTGTTTTCAACGAACAGAGCAAAGCAGAATTTGCGTGTACGGCAAATTCTGAACAGACAAATTTTTGTTTTTCTTCCTCGCACCCCTCTCGCCTACAAACTCAGTATTTGCCAAATAAAAATTTGCCTGTGGAAAAGCAGACTAAGAATAAATGTATGATTTGTGAATGAATCAATATTTAAAACATACTCCCAAATAGATTTGGAAAAGAAAACCTGATAATTTTTCACGTTTTTGGTAAAATGTTACAAATATGTCAAATGAGCAGAACAACAGGCATACTGTGAACAGTTGGATGTTACCGCTCTCAATGTTGGACCAATTATTTCGATGTCATCGGCGTAGGCGAATAACATATGTTATTTGGTGTACAGAGTAGTTCCGTTCCTGAACCTAAAATAATCTACTAATTTTACAAGTTTTGCAACTTTTTACTCAAAAACCGTTCCTGAACCCATAAAACTGGTAAAACATTGAATCAAATTTAAGAGAGCACAAAACAAAATTGCGTTCTCTTTGTAAACTTTTTACTCGAGAAATTTGGACGAGTAAAAATGGTAAACAGGAATGCCAACTTCTAATTGGCTGTGATGTTGATTTTGAAGTATTGCCATCTAATTTCGGCATATTTACTACATATGCGTTCCCGAACTTTTTAAATTATTTTGCACTCTGAGAGAAATTTTGTAATGTTTCCCTTTTACTAGCTTTACTATTAAAAAAGTACTGGAACAGACCAAGTGTCATTTCTGTTCACCTTTGCATCTCGTATGAGCTTTTCCAGCAGGATATTAAAAAGGTCACACGACAATGTTTCAACTTGTCTGAATCATCGTTCGGTATAAAAGGGCTCCGAGATCTTGTGCCAATTAAAGTTATTTTACATAACCCAAGATCTATTAATAAGGTCACCAAGATAGCAATCGAAATCGGAAAACAGCTGTTTTTTCTCAAGTCTAATGTCAAAAATTTCGACTTTGTTTACGTTTTCATAATGGAAGTCAATTCACAATAATGCATTTTGACAGCAAACTTGTGAGGTATCGATAATCAGCTGGTCTCCCTTGGTGACCTTATTTATAGGCCATGACATAACCGCTGTCGAATGAGGGAATGTCGAATAGGTGGAATTTGTTGATGTGTTTTCGTGAAAGTAGTATATAATCTATACCGTCATCTCTTATTGGTTCTGGGGTATCTTCTTCACCGCCACTATTTAATACCAGAAGCTTATCAAAATGCTCCTTCCACGATCCTCAACACGCTGGCTGTACCTGTCACCATGTTTCCTTCTCTATATCTACAGCACCAAAGCCTTCGGTTGGGTGTTTTACTCGTTGTGACTCCTGTACATCTCGATTTGCTCCCGCTCACGTTTTTCTTGTTGTTTCTTCTTTTTTTAAATACATTTCTCCTCTCCCCTTTTCTCCCGATAATTCTCCGTCACATTACGTGTTGCTACTGTCTGCAGGGTTGCCCTATACGCTGATTTTTTCTTGTCTGAAGCTGAATATTCCGACGGTGGAGCCAAAAATATTTTCCCTTCCGATTTTGGCATTAAAATCTCTTTGCAGAATTTTAATGCCATGGCCAGGGCAGAGATCATATTCTGTTTCTGAGCGCTCGTAAAATATGTCTTTGGTCTGTCCACCTTTGTCTTCGGTCCGATCATGGGCTCAAATTAGACTGATGTAGAAGAACTTCGCTTGTATACGGATTATAGCAATTCGCTCATCTACTGGAGTGAATCTGGATACGAGGCCTTTTATTCTCCTGTTAACCATAAATCCGGAGCTAAATTCAAGTCTCGTTTCATGGTAGATATAATACAAGGCGTAATCATATGTCCTATGATGCAATAGGACATATGCATGGTACAATTATAAAAGGTAACAGCAAATCCCAGCTGATTTGATTCCAACGTAATACTAGTGTCAATATGAATTTGACAAATTAAGTTTTTAAAAATCACCCAACAGGAAAATTGGGAACGCATACAATTTGAAATTGTTCTTTATTAATGTGCCTCCGTATTCAATTTACTCAATCTGCCTGCTGGGAAAGTTTGAGGAAGCAAATCTTTCTTGAAGGAATTACTCGCTATTCCCAGCATTGTCATATGTGTTACACATACATATGGCAATGGCTCAATTAAAGAAAAGATGTGGAAGCGATAGAAATATAAATTTGATAGATTTTCATTCATGTTTTTCAATTTTTATTTTGAGGATTCGAAAATATTCCATTTTCAAAATAAAAATAATTTCATGATAATTTGTTTGTTTGTTTACAATTTTCTGTCAAATGAGTTGACACTAGTAGAACTTACAACAACAAATTTCCATGTGATTGTTGTATCGTTTTTTGTACAACAACACTTGCTGTTACCTTTTATTATTATACCATGGGACATATGATAGGACAGATTTAAAGGTACGGTTATTTTGGGGTAGGTTATTTAGGGGCAAATAAATGAATTGGGTAATTAAAAGTGGGTAATTAAACTTGCAATTTTGCAAGGGAATGTACTGAAAATAACTAGGTATTCTGAAATCGGATTAATTAACCGTGGAAGTTAATTAAGCGAGGAATACTGTATTACAACAAAAATCTTTGTTTTTGTCTCGACTATCTGTCAAATTTTTCCTTACAATATTTCACATGGTTGGCAATATTGCACATCGAATTCAAGTTGAAATTAAGCACTTTGACAGTTAATCAAGACATCAGCTGCTCTAAATAGACAACCTATTCATTGTTTTTTTCTTCAAATTTTGCTTAGGGATACCACTATCACACGGTATATGGCCTGATGATCTTGTATTATCTGGCCACAAACTGCAACAATGTTCAATGGCATAACGGGCGATTTTTACTGACTTCTGTCGTTATAATCGATATCGTAAGTTGTGACAAATTAGTGCAATAATATGTTTACGAGTTAATTTTATTTTTGAGGGAAATGTATTTACTACGTTACATGGTCGTACATCAGAAAAATCTGATTACATTTATTTTAAAAAAATATAATGCAAATATACTGTTACGTTCTTGGGTTTTACTAAATCCCGTGTAGACGTTGTTTTATTTCCCGATACAATTCGTACCAAATAAAACGCGGGTTCTTTCTGATTACGATTATTATAATGATTTTATTCACACAACTTTACTTTGCACTTTACTTTACACGACGGTTTCAATTCGCGATCTGATTCACAACTGACTCACTGCCTTTCCATTCCCTCTATTTATATGAGCCCTGCCTGTCGCTACAGAAGTTTCTAGACGATCTGGTAACACCTAGATCACGAACAATCTACCAATGCAACAAACACATTGAGTAACAATAACAACAACAAACTTACTGAGTGAACAATAACAACAACAAACTTGAGTAAACAAACTTACAATAACAACAACACATATACAGGCGAGGGAATAACAAAGAAAGAGGAATGACGTTTAACAAGAATTGTACGACAATAACAAAATAGAAAATGAAAGAGGAAATGGAAGGATGTAGAAAAATCTATACAGTGGTTGTTGTTGTGAAGTTATTCAAATAAACTGCGTAGTAGAAATTTACGTTACAATTCAAATTCTTAAATTAACGGAATTCATCTAAATTAACTTAAATCTAAAGTTATATTCGTAACATTGCCCCCCGCTTAAGCCTGTTCGTCCCGAATAGGCACAGTTCCCGTTCCGTAGGGGGTCAGCCGCTCCAAATGTACAACTTTCATCTTCGACCTGGGACTGTCGCTCCTCTGGATGCGATAAACGACGTCATTTATTTTCGTGACAATCTTGTAGGGTCCTTCCCAGTGCGTTTGCAATTTGGGGCATAGTCCTTTCTTTCGTTGTGGGTTGAACAATAGTACCAGTTGCCCTTCTTGAAACCCATCGGTATTTGCCGCTCGATCGTACCTTGCCTTCATGCGGTTGCTAACCATTTTTATTCGATGTCGGACTGCATCGTGGACTTTACTAAAAGAGTTTTGGCTGTCTTTATCTTGGTTCACATCGTCGTTTGGGGTAGCGCCGAATATCAAATCGCCAGGTAGCTTTAATTCATTTCCGAACAGAACTTTGGCTGGGGTCCGGGATGTGGATTCATGAATGGCCGATCTATAAGCCAATAAAAACTTTGGAATATGCTCATCCCAGTCTCGTTGGCCACTGTCCACCACTTTCCGTAGATGTTCTTCAAGGGTGCGATTGAATCTTTCCACCATGCCATCTGATTGTGGATGTAGGGGCGTCGTTCTGGTTTTCTTAATTCCGTAGGAGTCACACATTTCCTTGAAGATCGCTGATTCAAAATTCCTACCTTGATCGGAATGAACCTCAGATGGAACACCATAGCGACAAATCCAATTTTTGCTGAACACATCCACAATTGTCCTGGCTTCTTGATTTGGGATAGCATAAACCTCTGGCCATTTACTGAAGTAATCCATGACCACTAAGACATACCGGTTCCCAGAGTCGCTTGTTGGGAACGGTCCAGCCACATCCATTGCGATTCTCTCAAAAGGAGCTCCTGAATTATACTGCTGCATGTAGCCTCGACTCTTCCGTGTTGGACCTTTAGCTCTTATGCACCTTTCACAATTGGCGATCCAGTCGGCAATGGATTTTTGACAGCCGACCCAGTAGAATCTCTGCTTCACCTTTTCAGCGGTCTTTGCTATGCCAAGATGTCCTCCACTTGGCCCATCGTGAAACTCCGACAAGACATCTCTTATTTTGGAGTCTGGGACGACGATCAAGTTCCGGTGAGATTTACCGTCCTCACATTCCCATTTGCGATATAGGCAACCATCTTTTATAAGTAGGCTGTCCCACTGGGCCCAATAAGATTTTAAAAGAGGGCTTTCGGAGGTAATTTCTTTACGACTAGGTCGCTTGCCCGTTTCAATGGCCGAAATTACTTTGCCCAGAATGGGATCTCTTCGTTGTTCCGTCGACCAATCTTCACCCGACTCAAACTGCAATCGTCGGACATCCACGATATTCTCTTTGCACTCAGCCTTTGAGCAGTGGCTGTATTCTACCTTGCATGGTCGACGAGACAGGGCATCAGCATTACATTGTTTTCCGCCTTCTCTGCGCTCGATTCTGTTTAACGGTGACTCATTGGTGGACTGTTGAGCCATTCTTCCACCATCTTTCGTTGGGGGTGGTGACGATGACCTGGATCGTTTGCGCTTAGCTCTGCATTCGCGCGCAATATGACCTGCTTTATCGCAGTTGTAGCATCTAACCCTGTGCTTAGTCATCCCTACAAACTTTGTTTCTTCTATTACCCGCCTCATGGCGTCCTTGATCAAGTTAACGAGAGATTTGTGTTCGCAACATTCGGTCTCCAGTTGGCTAATCTTGTGGGTCTGGGGCTTAACAATCATTCTTGCCGTCTCTTGGGCAAGGGCAAACGACACTGTTTCGGTAAATGACGCTTTTGGTGACGCATATGTTGCACATTTAATCTCAGGGTCACGTATGCCATTCACAAAGGTTTCGATTTTCATACGGTCCAGCAATGGGTGATTCTCTCCTGGATACGCCATTAGCACCAAACGTTCCACCTCAGCTGCAAAGTCTTGTAGCGTCTCGTTTGCCCTCTGTACTTTTCCCCTTAGTTCCATAAGGTAGATGTTTTGTTTATGTTCGCCACCGTACTTACGTTCCAGTGCAGCAATAACATCTTCATAGTTGCTTCTAGAAGCGACAGGAATACTCTGTATAACATCCGCAGCACTGCCCTTCAATGCCAGAAGTAGTGCAACCGCTTTGTCGCTGTCGTTCCACGAATTTCTAGAAGCCACTGTCTCGAACTGTAACTTGAAAACATTGAATGACGTAGAGCCGTCGAATACAGGAGGTTTGATTTTTAGTGTGTTATCAGGAGCTCGCACCGGACCACCTTTAATTTCCAGTTCCGAAATTTTCTTCTCCAGATTCGTAAACCTGTGGTCGTGGGCCAGAAATTTCTCGTCAACCGACTGCACTTTCTTATCCAAATCTTTAATTTGGACCTCCACGGTTTCCACTCTCCTTCCAATAACTTCCGTAATGTTCCCGAGTGTCTCGTTCATTCTACAATTCTCTGCCTTGAGTTCATCTAACTTTCTGGAATTCTCTTCGAACATTCGTCTCGTGTTTTCTTCTAACTTTCTGGAATTCTCTTCGCTCCTTCTGAAATTTTCCTCAAACATTTTGGCCAGCATTTCTCTGAAATCGTCACTCCTGGCAGCTACTGACGAGACTTCCCCACCGTTGGATTCGCCCATTTCCGATAAATCCACTTCATCCTTACTGTCAAACTCATATGTATCGATGTTCATACCACGGCGCTCGAACTCATCCAACAGACGTTTTTGTAGTTCAGCCTTGTTGCCAGTAGAGGACAATTCCAATTTATTGAGCTCCTTCTTTAAGTCTTCCACTCGTAGATCCTTAAACTTCATCGTAGTATTATCGTAATCTCACTTCGGACACCAATTGTTACGTTCTTGGGTTTTACTAAATCCCGTGTAGACGTTGTTTTATTTCCCGATACAATTCGTACCAAATAAAACGCGGGTTCTTTCTGATTACGATTATTATAATGATTTTATTCACACAACTTTACTTTGCACTTTACTTTACACGACGGTTTCAATTCGCGATCTGATTCACAACTGACTCACTGCCTTTCCATTCCCTCTATTTATATGAGCCCTGCCTGTCGCTACAGAAGTTTCTAGACGATCTGGTAACACCTAGATCACGAACAATCTACCAATGCAACAAACACATTGAGTAACAATAACAACAACAAACTTACTGAGTGAACAATAACAACAACAAACTTGAGTAAACAAACTTACAATAACAACAACACATATACAGGCGAGGGAATAACAAAGAAAGAGGAATGACGTTTAACAAGAATTGTACGACAATAACAAAATAGAAAATGAAAGAGGAAATGGAAGGATGTAGAAAAATCTATACAGTGGTTGTTGTTGTGAAGTTATTCAAATAAACTGCGTAGTAGAAATTTACGTTACAATTCAAATTCTTAAATTAACGGAATTCATCTAAATTAACTTAAATCTAAAGTTATATTCGTAACAATACTTTTAATTTTTTAAACTAAATATCAATTTGTAAGACTTTAGATAAACATTTAACTGAAATAAATTAATCAACTTGAATGTAAACATTACATATAAACGGCGTTGCGTTCAGCTTTACAGATGACGCCGACATGCGCTTACTGTGCCTCCTTAGCATTTCTGAATCAGCTGTTAATAATAATTAATTTTTTGTCACAGCACAACAAAATAGAAAAAAGTTAGAACATTTTTTCACATTCCTCCTTTGTAAAGTAAATAATTAATTAAGGATATAATCGATATCTCAACTGAAGGGAATCGGAAATCATGGGAAACAAACAAATAAAACAACATTTGGAAACGGCACAAAAGACGGGAATATTGAAGATTAGTTTGCAGCGTTTACAGGAGTTGCCTCCACAGCTGAAGAACTATCCAAATGTTTTGAAAACATTGGATTTGTCCCAGAATCGTTTTGAGAAAATACCCGATGAAATTGGACGATTTACGCTTATCAAACATTTCAATATGAGTGGGAATCGTATTGTCGATGTACCTGATGCTCTGGGAGAACTTATCAAATTGGAGGTGCTGCTACTGAACGATAATATGATTGTAAAGATACCGAGAACTTTATCAAATTGTCAAAATCTAAAGACTGTCAATTTAAGTCACAATCAATTGACTGAATTTCCTGTGATGTTTTGTGGTCTCAAACATTTGGATGTTTTGGATTTGTCGCGCAATAAAATAACTGCGGTGCCCAGTGAGGTAATTAGTTCTGATTATACTTCTTTTTATATGAATTTTAATGTTGTAATTTCTTCTTCTTATTAGGTTGGCACACTGCGTGTTACAGAGCTGAATCTAAATCAAAACCAAATATCAATTCTGTCCGAAGAAATTGCCGAATGTCCAAAGCTAAAAACTTTGCGTTTGGAGGAAAATTGTTTACAGGCCAGTGCCTTTACGCCTCGCATCCTTAAAGAATCCAAAGTTTGTAATTTATTTGTTGATGGCAACCTGTTCAACCCCAAAGAATTCAATCAACTAGATGGCTATGATGAATACATGGAACGTTATACCCAAGTTAAGAAGAAAATGTATTAGGCTGAAATAATTAATTCTTTTCTTTTGGGGCAGATGGAATATAGTGATACCTCTTTAAATGTTTTGAAGAAATTCCCTTCTCAGTGAAGGAGACTATCTCAAATATGCTGGTGAAATTTCGATCGGATATGGCATACATTTGTGTATGATAAACGAAATAGGAATGAAGGTGTCTTTATAAATTTCACTTGCGTTTGTTTTTTCTTCTGGTAATTTGTTTTCTTAGTATCAAAGTAAATAAACACAAATAATCCCTGATATAGAATAAATACAAAATAATAATATAAGACAAAATACGAAACATATGACTCAAGCACCACCGCCATTGGCCAGTCAACGATAATAATGCTTATTTTCTATTAGATATTCATGCAAAGTATATAAAAAATAAATATTTGATAATTCATTATTAAATTTTTCTATTAGCACATGTGTACGTCTTTGATATCTAATTTATTTGTATGTATGTATATATAGTTTATTTAAAAGCATATATTGTATTTATTACAATCTATATGAAATAAATTATACTAATAGTCAATGGAAATCAAGAACTAAAGATTATCTTTATATCAAAAAATAGTTTCATAGTTTAAAAGACAACTAGAAAAAGTCCTAAAAATTGCCTGAGGTAAGGAAGTGTTTTTTGAAAATTCGTAATTTAAGTGGTAATATTGTTTTTGTGTTATAGAATAGAACTGTAAATTTAACTATATGTGGATTACGACCATGTCTGCGAAGGTTCAGATTTATATAAATATAAAATATTACCAGTTACTCCATCCGCTTTAACTTACAGTTGTTAAAATGTCGACATTTTGTGGGGAGGTTTTAGGTTAAATGGTAAAAGTATAACGATTTGCAAAGTCTGGATCAAAGCGGACATTCCATTAGCTTGATATTGTATAAAAAATTGTCTCAAAATGTTGACATTTTGTGGGGGAGGTACCACAAGGAGTGGACGGGTAAGTTCTATTTTCCAAAATTATTCATATTTTTAGTTCAAATATTATGTTTTAGCTTAAATCGTATGCTCTGTTCGTGTGATATTATAAAATTAATTTTTATTACAATATTGAAACTTTTGTGGGGAAGGTACTGGAAGGAGTGGATAGATATTCAATATCTTCGAAATTGAAAGAAAAAAATGGTGGTGTACACAGTTTTCAAAATTTTGATACTTTTTGGGGGAGATACCAGAAGGAGTGGACTGATGGGTCCTATCTTCGGACATAGTCTACGTAAGGTGAAAATATTACGTTGTGCAAAATATCGATGATATTCCGTTCGCTTCAATTATACCAATCTTGACCGAGTATACCAATCTTGACTTCGAGAGTTATCGTGGGCACCAGTCAGCCAGACAGGCGGACAGACATTAAATTGACTCCAAATTGTCTGAAACGGATTTGGTCCAAAGGAACATGGGTTCTAAAACCAATATTTCGATGAAGCACATTTTTTCCGTAGCAAAGTGTATATACACCCTCAGCCATAAGACTGCGACTATAATCATTAAATATAAGACCGATATATTTTTGTTTGACAGTCAAAAATCAATAAAATAAGCAGTCATACAGAAATGACCGACAAAATTCCAATGATTTGAAATCCCTTGTCATGTATTACTCAAGAACACGAGGTGACATCTGTTGAGTAATCATCACGTGATTATTTTACATTAGATTTGTGTCTTGGCTGGTCGTTTTTACACCGTATAAACTTTATGTGAATGAAGATAATATCCTAAAAGTATGCTACAAATATTTGAACATAATATTTCAAAGGAAACATATTATTAATGTGTTAATGTAAAATTAAACTGTATTAACTTTGTATATCTCTCACCATTTCCAATATAGGTCCATGTTAAACTATATATCTCTATATTAACGTTCAGTTCAGTTTCGGTATGTTGGAGGTTCTAGCCGATTTTAATAACTTGTAATTTTTTATTAGGTTGGGGAAACAGAAATCCATTATTTTCTCGGCAGATGGCTGTACTTATAGCATCGCCCAGGAGCAGTGTTGTCGTTTGAAAATTTTATTTCCGCCCAAAATTCCCCCTAAAAAGTGCCCAAAATCAAAAATTTATGCCCAAAAATTTAAGCGTTAATGAAAAGATACAAATATTAAAAGCGAGGGTCCTTTTTGTTCTATATTTTTTAAATGCTGAAAATTACACTGTTTTGCAGCATGGAAGTATGGAAAAATTGATTTTTAGTTTTTTAATGTATTTGATTTAAAAATTTGTACTTTGGAGTCTAAACGCCATGTGTCTTTGGACCAAATCTGATTCGACAATTTGGAGTCCATTTACAAATGACCGTCTGTCTGGATGAGTGGTGCGCACGATATTTTTCGAAAGAAGTAACATATTTCATCCAAACTTAGCACATATTAAAGTTTAAATCAAGATCGGAGATGGAGAACATCGAACCACTCCTTCCAGTACCTCCCCACAAAGCGTCGAAATTTTTAATATTTTGTTCATCCAATATCAGTTGAACGGAATGTCTGATTCAATCTTTCCACCTACTTTTACCAAAACTATATCAAGTTCGAAGGTGGGAACCCAAAGGTCAATGTTTCAGGGTCAACATTTTAAAAGGTTTTAAATATTGATTTCATGCATTGATTACACATCGTAATATCTTACCAAATCTGAATTAAACCCGAATATGTGGCCTTTAGGACATAACTCTTTGAAAAAAGCATATACCTTAAATAAAGAGAATGGTAAATACTTTGTGGTCTAAAAATGAAAGGCCTTAATACTTATATATTAATATATGAATTTTGGGCAATTATCGGTCACAATATAATAAAAAAAAATTTCCACCTTGGCACTAGAGAGTAGTTTCATAGACCCCAGTAAACCGGGGCTGACCATACAACACCCTTCACAAATACGACTGAACATGAGAAAAAATTTAATCTTGATGGCCCAGATGGTTTAAATTGTTATTGGATAGATCTGCGGAAGGAACCACGATATTCCTTACAACAAAATTTCAGTGGCGGCTTCTTTAATGGGAGCATTTTGATTTGGCATTTCCTATTTGTCGAATGAATTCAATGGAGTACGTTTAAGGAAGACAAATTATTGCCATTTTGGGAAAGCAGTAACAATGAAAGACTCGTTTTTCAGCAGGGCAATTCGTCAGTTCATAAAAGTCGTCATACTTAAGAATGGTTAAAATCAAAAAATATTCCAACTTCCTACCAGAATCCGATTGAGAACATATGGAGAATCTTGACTCTTCGTGTCTATGCAGAAAACCGCCAATACCAAACTGTGTTTAACCCAAAGGAGTGATTACTGATGAATGGCCGTCAATTGATGAATATTTGCGAACAAAATTTGATAGACAGTATGATGGACAGAATTTTTGAACTTATTCAAAATAAGGGAGAGTTTGATGATTTTATTGTGTACAATAACTTATTTATCAACTAACATACCAATTGAATAAAAGGTTCATATATAGTTATGATACGCAGTGTAGTAGTCGTCTTTGAGTAGAACCGAATTCACATACACATGGCTATTAATCCATAAATACAAATTATAATGGACAGACGGGGGAAAAAACATGTGTAAATCGAATCAGCTAGTCGAAATAGTAGTCTTGGAGTAATATTTCGCTGTTTTACAAACTCTTGGGACAATAAAATTTCTCACAGCATATTTGTGTAGGGCATATAGAAATATAGAAAAAATGTAAATGTGCCGGGAACGAAAAAATGCCCAAAATCTGCCCAAGTCGTAAATTTTACATTATTATGCCCACTTTTGGGCATAAATGCCCACATTCGGCAACACTGCCCAGGAGGTAGAAATCTACCATATGATTTTCAGTATGATTTTCCAAAATTCGTGGAAATCGCAAGAAACATAGCAGCATTGTACACCATTTACATAATCTCAGATGAAAATATATATGGGATATATATCTAAATCTGAACCGATTTACACATTTTCGTGTAAATCGGTTCAAATTTCGTGAAAATCGAAAGATATATAGGGACTTTGGTGCACCATTTACCTTAAATCGGACGAAAATATATATATGGGAGCTATATCTAAATCTAATTCGAATCAAAAATACGATCTGTACTTTGTTTACAATTTAACATGGACAGACGAACGGACGGACATGCATAAATGGACTTAAAATAGAATCACTTTTCTCAAAAGGAACCATGTGTCTATCTTGTTTTCTTTTGCCTGTTACAAACATATGTACAAAGACATAATACCCTGTACCACAGTGTGGTGAAGGGTATAACAATGTCAAAAATTGTCTGTCAACAGATATGGATATGGTCATTAAAATGCATAACAGGGGGCATCATATGTAGGATATTTCTTTGATGTTTGGCAGTATACTCTTGGGACGTCTACAGTGATTTCAGTAGAGATGTAGGTTAAATTTATTATACAAACCAACTGTGGGGGGGGGGGTGCTTTTATGCAATCGAATGCAATTGTGGAGTAGATACCAAAAGGAGTGGTCCGAAGGATTTCATGTGCATTAATATATCTCTTGATGGAAGTTTGGAACGAACATTACGATATGCAACATTTACATCTAAGATGTTGCTCTCTTCGTGAGTTATCGTTCGTATAAAATGTATACAATCTCATTATTCGTAACGTTGTTGGTATAACAATCCAATTCAAATTCATATTTGAAAATTTAAAATTTTCTTCACTTTTTAGCCTTCAAGTGATGTTAATGATGTAATGATTTAAATCTTTAAAATATGGTAATTTACCAGAAAGAATGTTCCCTGGTGGTACGACAATGCATACATTATGATCCTCGTATCAATATTTCCAAATATCGTTTATTACCTCTGATTATTGTGCCGACTGCGTAAAAAGTAAGAATGACATTCGATTTATTGGTCGATAAGACTTGGATTACGCAGTACTTACATTGCCGGATTTGGGTATACGAATTAAAACTACTTGCTATGGCTGTCTACAAGATTAGATCAATAACAAG